CCCCCCCGCGTGTAAGTGTTAAAGGGTTTTGTATATATATATAGTCACTTTTTTTTTTTATAATTTTTTCATTAAATAAATTGCCATTTGCATTTTATGGTGCAATTTAAGGAGACAGGATGCAAAAAAAGCTACGCCGTTTGGATGTCCTTCCTGCACAGCACACTAAGACTACATGTTTGCATACACATGAAGGCACACAATGCAAATGTATCATTTCAGGTTATCCTTGCCCTTGCTTATTTTATCATGCGGTCTGTAACAAGGAGTAAGGTTTGAGTGTGCCCTGTTTAGCAGAGCTTACAATGTATTGGAGCAAAAGTAAGTGGCCCAAATGGTGCAATTCTAAATTTGCCAAGACATTGGTTTAAGTTAACACATTTTCTGACTGCTAATACATAGTTAATCCCCGGGCCTGCTGAATAAAAATAACAAATAATTTCCCTATACTGTATATCAATAGTAATAAGTCCCATGAAAATATTACGATGTGCTCTGTATTCCCAGATGTTCCACTTACCTCGTTCTATTTGCCTATAAAAGACAAGGTATTCTGTACAATGAGAAATTTCACTATTTAGAGGGCAAGTATTTTTTTGGATCTGCTAAATTTTGCTTGCCTAATATGTGCTGCATTATGATGTTGTTGTGGTTGCTGATGTTCTGGTGCTATTTTTGATTGAAAAATATACTTTATTAATGTAATAAAATATACAAAAACAAGCTATACAATCGGGGTACATTCTACCTCGTACTGCGACGCAGCGCATAAACACCACATAGCAATACAGCTCAATCACACAATAAATTACATTCGCACTGCGGCGAGATGCCTGACGTGTAGCGCAAGACAAGAGTCCTGAGCCCTCCACGTCATTCATGGCACCGCATTACCCCGTACTAAGTCTGTGGTCCATAGGATACACATCAAGTACCTTCAACTAAATAAAACTTCAATAAACCTTGCGGTGCGATGTCTGACGTGCGGAACTTTTGAGGGGCTCTTTGAACATAACCGCCCGCTTCACTCTGTCTGTTGTAATATAAGGTTTCATAATGAAAACTAATTTCATTCATTTTTGTAGGAATAACTTCATTACATCTAATGATCCATTTAGAGTGTATTTTAACTCTCAAACTATTTGTTCAGTATGTTTGGCATCATGTTCCTTGCATACAGTTTTCTGAATTTTTTTATTTTAATCTTTTGCAAATGTTTTTACCTAGAAATCCTGTCAGTGACAGTTCTTCCTATTGCAGGCTGGCAACCTTAGACCAACAACTCAAAATTGCCAACATTGCTGCCAGCCTGCTCTGCAGGCTTATTCTGTTGGTCATTGGGCAGCCTAATGGCCAACCAAAGGAGCACACACTGCAGGCTGACTACTCTGATTGCCTAGTTGCGAGGCAGTTGCTTAATGTTCTAAGCTTGTTATAGGAAGTGCAGTTACTGGCAAAATCTCCAGGTAAGAACTTTTTTACAAAATATTATTTGCTTAAGACAAACTATATTTACAGTAAGATATTATGCCAAACATACTGAAAAATAGATTTTGTGTTCACATACACTCTAATTCATTCTGATTACATATGAAAGCCCCAATGCTTTGTGCATAGTATTCCAACAAAGTATTCATCGGATCTAAGTGTGGGTTATTACTATAAATCTTTGAGGAATTGTGCTTTTTCTGTTGTTAGTTATAGCTATTAGGCCACATTCACATGGACATGCACAGCTGTACAGCATGCACCTCTGTGCAGATATCTGCAGAGACAGTCTGTGTATAAGAACATGCCTGTATGGATGTGCAAGTGTGAGTCAGCTTGTAGCCACATTTAGCTGCTTCCTGTCATAGAGATGCGCAGACAGCTGCCCATGGCTTCATGCAGCACCTGTCTCTACCGGGCTGTGAACATCCATGTGAATGAGGACTTATTCACAGAGCAAAATATTTGCAAGGTAAGATTGCACAGACCTTGGGTAAAGAATTGCCCATTTTACCACTAAACAATTCATGGACTATATTACTGGCTAACATAAAACAACTTTCTTCTTTCTATCTGCAATGTGTAAAGTACAGTAAGGCATGGAAACTAATTGATCTCTAATTTGTACACAGAAATTGAATTTTGATTTATTGATTTATGGAGTGATCTGGGTAAGTCATTTTTTTAAAGCACTGCTGGTCTTCATAATGTCTCAAAATACAATTGCCACAGGAAACAATGAGTTTTAATTAATAATGTTGTTCATCCTTCCTTCTAGCTGCCTCTTCTCCATTTATATTAGGTTGAGATGATTCACTGACTTCACTGATCACTGGCTTATAAATGTTAAGGATTATGGATAAGAAAAATGTGACTATAATTAATGTGATCCACCTAATAGGGTTTCAGACGTCACAAAGTATAAACTTTTTGATCTTTTTAATCTTTCTTTTGTTTTATTGTGTGACAATATGTGGAAACCTCCTAAACATCACAATGGTGTCCTACAGCAAAACCCTCCATTCTCCCATGTACCTCTTCCTCTCCCAGCTGTCCGTATCAGATATCTTACTTACAACCGATATTCTTCCTAACATGCTCAATTCTCTTATAGCAAATACTACCATCATTTCACTTCCTGATTGTATCACCCAGCTTTATTTCTTTGCCCCTGCAGAAACAATGGAGAGTCTTCTTCTGACAGTGATGTCTTATGACAGATATCTAGCCATCTGTAAACCATTGCATTATAAGTTGTTAATGAGTCATCGGTTTTGTTGGATAATAATTATCACATGTTGGACTTTAAGTTTTTTATCAGTATTTATATATACTACAACCATATCCAAATTACGGTTTTGTGGTCCCAATGTTATTGATCACTTTTTCTGTGATCTTGACCCCATCCTAGAACTCTCCTGCTCTGATACCACTCTCATTCGAGTAGAAACAACATCACTGAGTGTCATTTTTGCCATCGTGCCATTTTTTGTTATCACATTATCTTATGTTTATATCATAATCACCATTTTGGAAATCCCATCTATTATTGGGAGACAAAAAGCTTTTTCAACGTGCAGCTCCCATCTTACTGTTGTCTGCATTTTTTATGTCACTATTTTTGGTGTGTATTTGGTACCTCATAGAGGACATTCATGGAACATTTCTAAGTTACCGTCATTGCTGTATACTGTGGTCACCCCACTGCTGAATCCAATTATATACAGCCTGAGGAATGAAGACTTAAAAAAAGTTGTAGGAAAATGCATCAAGCAAAACAAATGACAAACTCACTCAACAATTTGTCGCCAGTTATACAGTAAGGTGCACACGAAATGGGCTTTGAACAATAAAACAGTAGAAAGGCATCATGGCACACTCACAAAAATTTATCAACACATTTTTTAGCTTTCATTTCAACTTTGAATTTAGAAATATTAAATGCTGGAAATCATTTTAGAAGGTTGACAATCCTATTTAGTGTAATTTTTCAGCTAAAATATATTTCATTGTGTCTATGATACTATAAAAATGCTGTTTTTATCAAGGGTTATTAAATAAATTGTTCTGATTTCCTGATAAAATAGTGAGAAGCTTTCATTTTGATACTACTTTCCATGGTAATGAAATTCTGCTGGTAAACTCAAGCAAAAAAAATCCAATTTCTGTCTAGGAATGTTCAGAAAGATTGAAGTTTAGGTTATACCCTTTCTTAGCTAACTTAACTCAACTTAAGGCTCCCTGAGGGCAGGGACTGATTTGAATGTGCACTGTGTAAAGCGCTGCGTAAAATTGTCTGCGCTGTATAAATAATAATAATAATAATTCTACAAGACTTACTATTATTTAGAATTTGAACCCTTCAGTACTTAATTTTTTTAAGTAGATGTAAAAGGAATGCAATTTAACTCAAATAGACTATTACTTTTGTATTTTTTTAATTTGCAAGGGAATTTTCCCCTAGCTTAATGAATGTGGTAAAGATCTGCTTATCTTCATCATCCAATCATGTGCAAGCTAAAATACTGAAATACTGTTATGTTTTGTTTTTATTTGCCTTGCATATGATATTTGTACATGCACACCGTATAGGCAGGATTGTGGACAGTGCTTATGTGTCACTTAGGTTTCTCACATACACATGGTGATAGATGCACATCATACCTGGTTAGTCATATATGTGCACAGGCCATTTGTGGCAGCTTATAACTTGGTGAAAAGGCTGAATGCTGACAGAACACTAAAAAGTTACATGTGTTGCTTTTTTTTTTTTAGCGGGGAGAACACATTTGGGGGAAGTCTGATTTATACAATAACAAACCATTCGCGATTCTCCCACTTTCAAATACCTTGTCCAGGATGGATCATATATAGCAGATAATAATTTATGTAAAATTTTTGAAATAACAATTACCAAAATAAGTTTTTATGTATTTATCTTAAAGCTTGTAATAAAAGCAAAAGACCGCAAAAAAATCTCCAGGGCAGGCATCTATCTGTATTGAATAAAAGTGTTGCTAACTTGTATATACAGTATAGCAACTACACTTACTAGTAGAACATGGTATACCATTCCTTATATACAAAATAGTGAGTTATAATTATTCAGTGACACTTGTATATCAAAACAAATATATATCACAAACACCAGATTTAGGATGCCTAAACAACCCATAAAGCTCTGAGACTCACAGATCTTTCAATATATATAAGTAAACAGATACATTTTGTCCCTTCTCAAAGAAATATAAAAACAATTTTACAACCTCATATTGCAATCCAGTTTGTCTTCTGCACCTATATGATCCCAAGGTTGAAAAAGAATCATTATTGCACACCCAATGCATAATAGTCTTCAGCAAAGCATACCTAAAACTTTGCAAATCCCCACTGTAAGTACCAAACTATTAACTACTGCTAAGAACAAATCAAATTATTTGCATGGTTGCCTCCGCTCTTAAACAGATTTTGCAAGATTTCAATGTATCTCGTTCATTCACACATGCTTTAATTGTCAGTACATTTCAGTATGTATTGCATGCCCCCTAATGATTGGTGAACTGATGATGGTGGAGTGAGGCTCTAGAAGCAGCAGGAGAGGTGTAAGAAGCACAGATACACACAGAATAAATTAATCAGTAGCAGGGAGATACTTGCACAGCAAGTCTTTAGATACAGCTTCATCTGCAGCAAGAAAAGTGAGCAGTACAGCATTTACATCAGAGACTACTCTATCTCATAAAAACTGCTGTGTTAATGTGCAAAGCAATAACATTGCTCCAGGCTGGTCCATGCTTGCCCGCAATCCACAGCTAGGTGTAAGTCCAGCTCATGACTGATATTTCAACCAAACATGAGATAATTGCACAATCCAGCAATGGAAGCAAACGTATTCATTGTATAAAAATTGGGTACATACAAGCATCAAAAAGATCTCTAAGAGATCTAGTAATACCGTATATTGATCTGGTGATATGTTACATTGCGATAATGCTTTTTATGTATTTGAGGTAAAAACAAACCAACACAAAATTAAGAGCTGAGTGCATTTCCGGCAGATGAACAGTTATTTCTCTGTACTTGCAGGGTCTTTACAAGGAATAAAACTGGGGACATGTGCACATATTGTAGAGGTTTACTGCATACACTCTATATCTTTTTTTTGTTTTTGCCCTGACATACACTCTAATGAAATTTCACACCAGGCACCCTTTTCTATGTAAAAAAATACATGAATGTGGAATGGGCAAGGAACTATACAGAAGAAACACAAAGGGGGTTATTCACAAAGCTGACGAATAAGCTGAGTGAATAACCCAGCCAAAGTGAAGTGAGCCGAACGCTGTTCGGCTATTAACTTCTGGCTTGTACGGCTCATTCGGATGGCATTCAGCTCAGCTATTCTGCTCAGCAGCTCCAGGGTACCGTGCTGAATGTCAAAACAGTTAAATGAATATTAAAAAAAAAAATAGTTGAAAAAATATTTAAAAAATTTAAACAAATAGTAAAATTGAAAAAAAATAAAGATATTTTAAAGAAAAGCAAAAAAACAATTGGGCAGAGCTAGCAGTGATAGCTAGCTCTGCCCAACTGTTTCCTATTGGCCGGCACCTGCTATAGTCTTCTAGCAGGTCCCGGCCAATGAATAACAACTGGGCAGAGCCGGCTGTGATGTCATGGCCAGCTCCGCCCAGCTGTTATTGTTTAATGACAGATCATCATCCCCAGGTCATTTGGGGACGCTGATCTGTCATTACAACTGGGTGGAGCCAGCCATGAGACCCCCCAGCAGGCCTTTCTCCTCGCTTAGGCTTTCACTTCAGCTCAGTCGAGCCGAAGCATATGCCTTCGGCTCAGGTAAGCCACTCGGCAGACTCCACAAACTGTAACATTTTTCATATTCTTTCTATTTCTTCTGTTTTATTGTGTGAAAATATGTGGAAGCCTCCTGATCATCACACTGGTGTCCTACAGCAAAACCCTCCATTCTCCAATGTACTTCTTCCTCTCCCAGCTTGCTATGTCAGATATCTTATTAGCACTGAGCTGGCTTCTAATAAGGCTGCTCTCAGCCACTTGATCAGCCCAAGCTGGTCATTGGTAACACCAGGCCCCAGGACTGGAGATCTCATCCCACCCAGAGCTCTAAGAGATCTCCAGAGCTCCAGATACCAGCTACATTTAGGAAAACCTGGAAGGACCTGAAAATTACATTCTGGACCTTCTCAGCCCCTTTGGCTGAGAGTCCTTGGTGTCAATGTTGCCATACTATGCCGTGGCATTGCCCGGCACTGCCACAATATATATATATATATAGAAAACCTTCACTTTACTTTCACAATCAACATTTTCTATGGGACACTATACTGCAAAATGCTCCTACAAATGCGGGTTATTGATTGCAAGATTTGTTAATTTGCACACACAAATGATGTTGTTGTGGTTGCTGATGTTCTGGTGCTATTATACCTA